TGTGAGCTGTGCACCTGGTCTCTCTCTTGTCCAAACTGCCATTCCCGGGCATTGCTGCCCCCAGCATCACTGTGGTACACAATCGACAACACACACATATTCATTCACATGCACACCCGCGTATGCACACTCATCCAAATAATTACTTGTCAATTCACTGCTGTGTTGATGACTGCAGTAAACTCAGAAGTTGCTAAGCCTGTCATGCCCTTTGCGTAAACCTCACACTACCTTCCTCTTCAACTTTTTTCTTTCACGTCCAGAATGCCAATGTGAGGACAGTTCTTTCCCCATCTGTCAGGTGGTAAGTCAGCAAAAAGCTGAATCAGAAGTCACTGTCTAATCGGGTTTTTCTGCAAGGAAGAGGAAAAAGTGAGCAAATTCAGTTAAGTCAGCAATCTGTTTTTCTCTCAGGGGGAGGTGCTGATGGAGGTTCCAGACAGCAACACCAACTGTGGCTGTCCTCAGCGTACATGCCGTATGTGCAACATGACTGAAAGCACACAGACACCTGATAATAGTGTGACAACAGAGTCTCTGCAGAAATCCTTTCTGTTTAATACTACTTTATTTCCAAAATGCTCAGCGGCTTTAATAGTTACCTTTTTGCATGCGGCGTAATCTTTTCTTCTATGTTTGTGTGTGTGCAGAGAAGGCAGAGGTGTGTCTTTTCCAAGGGGTGACAGTGCTGGGCCCAGGCCAGTCTCTGGTTCAGTACTTTGAGGGAGAACTGTGCTACACTGTCCAGTGCCTGCATCATAAAGATCCAGACTCGGGTTATTATGCCATGGAAATCACCTCTGTCAACTGCTCCCAAAAATGTGGACCAGTATGTATCCAATGGAGCTTTAATCTCAGGTTTGACTGGTCACTTGATTGGTCAATATTCTCTTATCCAATCAATCGTTGATCAGGCAATTTCCTGTGTTAGTTTCATAAGGAGAAAAGCACTACATGAAAAGCCTGTAAGTATTGATTTGACAGTGGTAGTAACAGACTCTCTGTGAAAAATAGCCCCTTATTCTCTCAGCTGGGAACTCACTGAAACCAGAAGTTGATTGCTACCATAATTAACCTTTACATTTACTGAACTTTTACTAAGAGTCAGCTCCAAAGTAATTAATAGCATCTCATGTGTGGCCTAATAGAGTTAAAACAGATGGCAAAAGAAGTTATGTGAAAACTTTTCAGCAGTTTGCATATCACAGCTATATTTTATTTGAGTTAGGCTTTCCTTTCCCTCCCAATCTCCAATTTATAGTTTGGTTGAAGAGGAGATTACCAAGATTTTCATTTGACTACTGTCTCTGTATTCAGTGTATTTAAATGTGAGCAAAATCCTGAAGTTTTATCTCAACTGAGGCATTTGCGCCACATCTCATCCTGTTATATTCTTTTTTCTGTTGGTCCTCCTTTCCTTTAACTTTTCAGCATCAGGTGTATGTACCATCTACAGACCCTCAGGTGTGCTGTGGTTCCTGTAAAAATATCTCCTGTACTTTCACTAATGAAAACGGGACAACGGAGCTTTTCACTGTAAGAATGAACAGATCCACATCCAAGTGCAATTAAAGCAAAATCTTTAGCAGTGCAAATTCTGATTGTGTGTGCAGGCAGGGAGTTCCTGGGTGGAGAACTGCACACGTTACGACTGCATGGAAACTGCAGTGGGAGCGGTGATACTTGCCTCTGGGGTGGTTTGCCCACCTTTCAATGATACAGAATGTATTCAGGTTAGGACCGCTACTTATAATCTATATCTAAGTATGAGTTTAATGATGCCTCATTTTTTATCTAAAGTTGCTCAGTTTGATATTTTTTCTTATATATTAAACTTTTAGTATTTCTTTCCTATCTTCTTTGCAGAATGGCGGTGTTGTTCAGAGCTATGTGGATGGCTGTTGCAGGACATGTGAGTCTTTAAATTTATTCAGGGCTTCTGGTGTCGCTTTGAGCAGTCAATTAGAGGGGTGAGCGCCTTGTTGCTTGGCAGTGGATGGGCTTATTGGCTGACTGGTTGGGGGTGTGGCCTTTTGTAGACGGTGAACATAAAGCCTGTTGGCCTATGAGTACATTTCACAGTCCCTTGCTTTCCCTGGTGTCCCCAAAACCTTCTGTTGACATATTTAAGAGCTACCACAGCATAAACTGAAGAAATACTTGCTGAAAACCTCAAGTAATTAACTAACCAATACATTCAAAGGGATATACTACACTACACTCACAACCTCCTGAAACTGTACTTTAAGGGTGAACACAACTGAACTATCTTGATGTTTGGAAAAAGTTTGAGTTAAAGTATCTTCTGAGCTATGTGGATGAAATTTGTAATAAACATAAAGTGGTGAGATTTCCTCTCTCTTTGGATTCAGCGTTGCAGCCTTGCCCGCTTGCCTGCTTAAGCAGTTATTCTTGCTGTTTGGCCAGTTGAGGTGTTCACAGTGAGCGTTTTACCGCTGAAGATGTGAGATGGTGCAGGGGTTAGCATTCGCCCTGCTGAGCTTTGTAGTACATCAAATGACTGCGTTCCTTGGCTGGCTGCCCGGAGTGACCCAAAAAAGATGCGACATCCATGTGCATGCCGGCCGCAATGATTCCATCCGCTGTGTGTTTGTGTGTGACATTAAACTGTGCTTTCTGAACAAAACATAACCTTGTGTTCTCCTGACGTTCTTTGAACCGGACGGCTGCGGTGCCAACGATGTTTCCAGGTTCTGGAGTGGGTGTTTTACCATTTACCGTTAATCCTGTAACGCCTACTGGTAGTACAAACTGTGACACAGGTACCACCATCTTGCACTATTCCGACTTCTTTGGCATCCTTGCTCTCAGTGACTCATTCCCTTGTGTTTTCAAATTCTGAATGTGTACGGTGTAAATGGTTTTTTTTTTTATGTCTTTTTCAGTGTCTGTGTGTCTTATCTTGTCATTTCCTCTCCTTTAAACACAATATAACCTACAAAGCATTTTAGGTTATTTGTAACAGAAAGGCCTTAATAAAATAAAAATTGCACTTCTTGTGAAATAATATAAGCTTCAGTAATGCACACACAAATGTTTAGAAGAAGCACTTCTGTTTTTTTTCATGAATTTCAGGCCCACACAGAATTCTTTGAAACTTTGATTGGTTTAAAAGTAAGGTTAAATTTAGGTCAGTAGCCATTCAGTGGAACTGTGCTGGGGGACCTGTGTCCCACACCCCCACCCATCACCCAGCTGTCAATCAAAGTAAGCGCCTACTGCTCAGCAACAAAGAGCCAAAGTGAATAGGCATTTCAGTGTGTATGTGAAGTCTCTGTAGTGTAATGATTAAAGTGCATTTGAAAGTGAGCATATTATCATTACTGTGTGCATTCACAACAGTTTGGTGTATATAGGCTTCTCTAAAAATATCTGGTGTGTTAAGGATCTATGATTACTCTGAGGATCCTATATTTCTTCCTGAGTGTTAGTCTGTGTGAAAATCTCTGCAGGTAAAGAGGACGGCAAGACATGTAAGCGGGTGGCCATCCGGACTACCATTAGAAAAGATGATTGCAGGAGCAATGCACCGGTGAGAGAGAAAAGAGACATTCACTTGTGAAAATGAGGAGTCTGTGAAAGCAGAATTTTAAACACATTTAGTAGTTGTGGTTGTGTTTTGTTTAGTAAATATATGTTTTTCATTTGGCAGGTTACAGTATATTCCTGCGACGGGAAATGTCCATCAGCCACCATATTCAACTTTAACATCAACAGTCACGCCAGATTCTGTAAATGCTGCCGTGAGAGTGGACTGCAGACCCGCTCCGTCGCACTCTACTGCTCTCGCAATGCCACAGTCGTGGAGTACAACTTCCAAGAGCCTCTGGACTGTTCGTGCCAGTGGAACTAAAAACAGCTGAATGAGAGCAAGACAAGTGAAGAGAACGTCTAAATAACAGGGTGGGGTAGGGGGATATCTGAATATTGTTTTACTAATGGACAAAAATGAAAACCAGCCATGTCTTTTTTTTTTGTTGTCGTTGTCTTAATACACTTTACAACACTGACTTTGAGTCATAGTTGTAACTAAAAGATATGAGAATAACCGATTTAAGAGGCGGATTGTTTTTCAGATAGTTTTCTCGCACTTTAGCCTTATTTTCTGTAAGTCCTGCAGTGCCAACCCATTCAGCTTCTAGTGCTTTCAGCTGATGGTACCCTAAGATTTTTATCCTACAGTATATGAACATGTTGTTGCGTTTTTAAATAGCTGTTGTGTTTAAACACTGTATGTGAATTTTGGTTTGTCTTATAAGATTCATTTAGCCTTTATGCTTTGTTGTCTTAGAAAAGTTGAATTTCTTTCTCAAATGTGATTTTGCTTTCCTTTTAGTTTTTACAGTAGTTTAATAAAAGATTTAACAGTGCTGTTGTCTAAAACTGTGTCCTCATGACCTGCTATGTTTTTATACTCCCTCCACTTTCTCTTTCATTAAACCTTTATTACACACATACTTATTCTGGTTCAGCATTAATAGTGCTGACACATATTTATGTCTCACTTTTCAGAGGTTATTGCTGAGTGGGAGTCACCTCTTGACAACAGAAGCCCTTAGTAAAGTCAGCTCTTTGCCTGTCAATCATTTCTCCCTTTCACATTCCTGTCATTCCACATGGGCCAGCGCTCCCACCACACCCCACCTCAGAGCCAAACCATTCTTACCACTGCAATGCTCGGAGCAATTTGCAGCACATGCTTATTTTAGAGGTTAAATAAAGTCGTGAAAACAGTCATGAACTGTCTGCTCTAACCGAGTGGTTGACCGTTACTTTAAAGGTGTGAAGCATGGCGGGCGGCTTTGCCCAGTGAGGACATCTCAATTGCTCATAAAATCCCATCACATCTTTTCCCCTCAGTATGCCCCACATGTCCATCTCTCTACTTATCCCCCTCCTCAGGAGTCCAGCACTGGAGTGGCCGTGTGCCCATGGTTGTCATGGTAAAGTGCTCTTATCCCGACAAAGAGGCAGAACAAATTGGGTTGAACTAATGCACACGCAATCTCTCTCTCCTCCTACAAACCCAGGAAGACTGCCTCCTTCTTCACTTGAGGCTTGCTTCTCGAGGGAACTTTGGCTTCGAGTGCGCGCTAAATTCAAAGTCTTGGCTCTGCGTAAATGTGAAGTAAAACTAAGAGACTCCCCCCAGGCATTAACACGTCGAGGCAGCTGTAACTGAACTAAGTAAAACCTAAAAGGTTTCACGAAAAAAAATGAAAAAGTTTCAACCCGTTCACTTTTCTTGTTCTTCAGTTTTACGTCAGCGACCAAAATAGTTTGGGACTTTCCACAACTGATGTTTACGCACAGCTGGCTTGGATTTTCTTTTTGTGCGACCAATGGCTGACGAGAGGAAGGATCTGTTGTGTCTGGGCGTGGAAGTGACTGCATGTACCCATGTGGATCAGTGACACTCCTGGAAGGTGTGCTAAATGAGATGGATTGAGATTCCCAATGGGTCAAACACAGCGCCTGTGGCTACTAGCAAGTTTATGTCAGGTAAGGTAACCCTGCACGTAGCAGTTATCTGTAAATAAGTTAAAACTGCATTCTGGGTCTTTTAAGCTCAGTTATTTTCCTGTATCAGTAAGATTTAAATATTACATAACGATTTGGGGCGCATTCAATTATTCAGCAGACATTTAATCCCTTTCCCTTTCCACAGGTGGTCTTGCTAACCTGTGAAAAACATTCAAACACTGTTGAGGTTGAAGTTCTTTTTCAGCCCTTTAGTCAAGATCCAGACAGCTACAGGATCACCTGCAGACCTGCAAGTAACCATCTGGTAAGAACATTAGTAAGGGTGAAAAAAAGCTGTGAAAGTCTTGTTAAGTTTTGTTCGTTTTTATAAAGTTTACTCTGTTCTCACTTTCTGTCACATCTTTGCAGGTATATGTGAAGAGCTTCAATAACTCAGAATGCTCCCATCACTGCAGGATATTATTGAGAATGGTTGAGGATCAGAAGGGGTATAACATCACGCTGAGAGCCAGCAGGTGTGATGCGGTGCTCGAGACAAAGACCTTTCACTTCCGTGAGTGTCTGTGAAGTCTGAATCCAAACACCACATGTTGTATTTCTATCATGTTTAATAACGTTAACACCTCATCCCCTTTTTGTGTCTCAACAGTTCCAGTGTCCACGTCCTCCTTTAATGTATACAGCACAACCACCACCGCCCTTCTGACATGGAAACTTCACAGGCTGCAGACCCTGTCCTCCATAAGCCTGTACAACACACACACAGAAACTGTCGTGCACATCTTCAACATAAACTCTTCAGAAGTAAAATCCCAGTATACAATGAAAGGTTTGCAGCCGGGCACACGCTTCAAGGCCAAAGTCACAGTGACTACATACCTCAAACAGTTTAATATGACCTTGAAGCAGAGACTCAGAATTCGTCTGGAAACAGGTATTGTGAACATTAGTAATCCTGTGATCGCATGACCACAGCTCAATTATTAATCTTTAAGTGACTGCAGTCAGGAATTTGTACTGTAAGCTGATTGTAATATGTTTCTCCAGCTCAGTGCCCACCTGGCTGGATTGCCATTGGGGGAAGCTGCTACATTGTGAGAAGAACAGGGTTGACCTGGAGTGATGCACTGCACAGATGTTCAGACCTTGCAGCAGGAAGTCATCTGGCTAACCTGAAGAGCCTGGAAGATCTGTTTTTTATATCTTCTTACCTCCTGTCCCAGAACAACTTGCTGCTGCTATGGACGGGACTTAATGACCAGCTGGTATGCACGAACATATTTTAAATCACTTTAATTCTAAAAAGCAGCATTTATAATGACTTTAATTTTTCATTTTTGTCATGAATAACTGAGCACTTAGTACTTTAGAGAGGATTTTCTAAAAACAAAACAACATTTTGATTAAATATATTGAAAAACATGCACTTAAATATCCTCCAGGGTTAGGTGGTTGTGGAACGTGTGCTGCATGACATTATATTTAAACTTTTTTTTCTGCATAAATACAATTTCTTTGCATAAAAGTTTTTCACACTTGAAATCAAACACAAACCTTGTGAGGAAAAAAACAGGTTTTGCATTTAGGTAATTATGAATATGTTTTTATGACAAAAAGCAAAATATGCCTAACAAGGGAGGTCCAAACTTTTCAAAAATATTCCTGGTAGGATTTTTCTAAAGTTTTGTTAAAATAATTTAGTTAGAAAAACTCTGCAAGCCATCGCTGAAGTGCTGGATATCGCAAGGGGAGGTTTTTCACAAAACGTTGTTCACTTTCACAATGCTTCACCGCAGCACGTAACATTCAGAGGGAAAGTTTGTTTTTCATACTTAAATGGCATTCGACTCGTGATGTCTGCCTCTTTCTTGCCCTACAGGAAGAGGGCCGACCTCTCTGGTCTGATGGCTCATCATATAACCGAACAAACACTATGAAGACTCTGCTACCAGCCAACCAGACGGACTGCTTCGCTTTCCAGAGGAATGCCACGGGGCCGGGATTCTTTCTCACTCCATTCTTCTGTAGCATCCCCTTACCCTTTATCTGCCAATATCAAAGTAAATAACTTGTGCACGAGCTGTTTATTAGCCAGCATATAATATTTAACAGTAGTTGTAATGCATAAGTCATATGCAATATATAATTTGGGAGTATCACCACACTTCGTTTGTGATATAGCTCAGCACTTACAGATTCAAACCATGCAATTTGCGAGCACTTCTGCCACTTATTTTTCTTTTCAGGGTGCTAAGATATTGCTTTTTTCCTTCTTTACAGCACGTTTAGTTCCTGCCTCATTCTCATTCGACCTGGTTCAGGTGACAGAGGACCTGGTAGAGCTTCGTTGGAGTGATCTCTCACTCTGTAACTCACCTGCTCTTTCATCATTTGAGGTATTCCTGCAGTACCAAGAGGAAGAATATGGAGAGTGGGATCCAAGTGAAGAAGAAAGGAAGCAAGAGGACCAAATGGGCACAAAGAACCAGAGCACGCCTAAAAAAATTGTAAGGGTCCCCATTTCGATCTCTTCTAGAGGCGTAACTTTAGCAGGTTTATCTCCAGGAAGCATCTACTCCTTCACCCTTCAAGCGTCTCACCCTCCTGGCTTCGCTTGGAGCTTGGGACAAACACAAATTGCATATACTAGTGAGTGTATTGATAACCACTTACACAATTCAAAGGACATTATATTAATAGAGGCTGACTTTTAATATTTACACTGCCTTTCTTACAGGACCTCATCCTGCTCAAAATATCACTTTTGGTCCCATTACAGCCAGTCACATTAGCATTCATTGGATGCTGCCAGATGTGTCATTTGTGGCTGGCTGGACTTTTGTTGTACGATATGAAGACATGTCTTTGAAACAGGATGGTGTAGTTGGCATGGCAAACATCTCCAGGTCATCTGGGTTGAGGTCCTATACTGCAGTAATTGGAGGGCTGGAATCTCACAGGAAATACAGGATTGAAGTCTACACAGTTACTGAGCATGGGATAGGGAGCTGTGGACAGGCAACTCTAACTGTAAAAACTGGTAAGCATGTAAATGTTGGATTCATGAACAATTTCTAAAAGCTTGTTGTCCAGTAAGTACTGTCTGGTGCTATGCTCTACCTATTTTTAAATTATATTCTAGGAATTATCTTGTACTTTTTAACAATCGCATGGCTTATTTGAAATCTCTGCAAATACTGACAAGATAAGGTAAATGCAAATGGAAACTTTACAGAAAATTGAAGTTATTCTACACATTAGTTGCTCATGTAAGCAACCTTTAAGTCTGTCCAGTGTACTTAAGCATTGCTGTGAAGTGGAAGACAGTATTGTGATGCCAGTGTGATTCATTTCACCAGAGTAAAAGGCGCAAAGTGTCACAAGTGAAGATGGCATGAACGCAGACTATTGCCTTCTCAAAATATGCATCTTATTAAGCAGCTAAATAGCTTCACATCCAAGTGGGCTAGTTTCAGTTTGATTTTTAGTGCCATTCCAACGTTACTTGAGAGGTTATTAATTTTTTGCATGTGTTTACATCTACTCATCAGCATTCACTGATGATCCTGTTGGCAAATATGATTTCATAGATGTGTTTCTGACTGCTTTGCAATGCTCTCCTAAATAATATGGGCAGTATAGATTTTTTTTCAGTACAATATTAAATGAAATGGTTATGTGCAGGTATGCATAAGTAATCATGTAGCTTTTTAACCTCTGACTTTCAAATAATGCTGGTTTTTACTTCTTAGCGGTGAAGGCTCTCAGTGGTCTGGTAGTGATAAGCACTAGGAGCAGAAATCTGACTGTCTGTGGCACCCAACCACCCAGCGATCCTCCAGACGGTTACTTTATCACATCCCAACCTCTTGACAATCCTACTGCTCCTTTGTTGTGGCTAAACCACTCCAGCGCATATGGACACTTGATAAATGGATCCATGTGTTTTAATTTGGGCACATTTACTCCTGGTCAGACGTATGAAGTTGGAGTTGTTGCTCTGAAGGGAAATGACAGGAGCAAGAGGTCCAGCGTCATACACACCACAGGTAAGAGAAATAATAAAAGTGTCCAAATAGATGTATTGCAATTTTTTATTATCTAAGATACTCCACTATCTGTCTTTGACTCTTTTTGTTTGCCTTTGTGTATATAGCTCCTATGCCAGTGCAGGTAGCAGTGCCTGTCTCGGTGGGTACAAACTATGCACAACTGTACATCCAGCATCCACAACTGGGTGTGATGGATGGCGTAAAAGTGTGTGCGTGTCCTGGAGACTGGGATACTGTTTGCAAGGGTTTGGGCAACTATCTGTGTGACTGGTACTCCCTCACTGCTCAAGTTCATCTCATAAACCTCAGCAACCTCAGTCCGGGGTCACCGTACCAGCTCAGAGTGCACAGCACGAGCCGAGAGCAGTTGGGACCACCATACTACAGCCGCCTCTTTAGAACAAGTGAGTTACCTCTGTCACTACGAGCACATACAAATGCATGCACTATTCAGAATGCGTGTAACAGCTGCACTTAAACTACTCCTACCTGAGAGGTGTCAACACAAACACAGAGATTTAAGGCCACTTTAATTAAGATAGCTTAGTGCAACCCTTGACTGCAGTGGAGCTGATCATATCATCCTATTTCACATAACTAAGATAGACACATAGAGTCCAGATGGTAAGTAATTGGGTAGATATACATGTTTTGTTCTTCGAGCTCTATGCTTCAGCAAATTCAATTTGAATCAAATAATGGATAAGGCCACTAAAATGTCAAGTCACCGATTTAATTTGAGAAAGCTTATTCAAGTATAAAAAGAACTCAGTGAGCTACAGTGCATCTCTTTGATCAAAAGTTCCTGTTTTATTAGTGGGTTAAGTTGAAACTGCAGTATTAACAGATGATGACCAAAGTAGGTCAGGGCTGACTGAGAGAGCTGCCCCTCAGGCAGAGGTGGAGTAGTGTGTAAATATGATGAGGAAAGTGATTAAGCGAGCAATGAAGCTCAAACAAAGACAAAAAAAATTATGCTTTTTTTTTATATAATGCATGTGCACAAAACTGGAGAAACACAAAGAAAAATGTGTTATGGATGATCTGAAAAACATTTTTCAGGCAATTGTAAATACATGTAAAAAAAAAACCCAAACACTTTATGTCTGTACAAAACATCACAAATGCTCGCAAATATCTTTGTCAAAGGTTAAGAGAAGACCTCATCATAAGACCCCCCGAAACACAAGAGGCAAACTGCTGTTCAACCCAAATGACAGAAAAGCCACATTACACATCAGAAACGCAAGAAAACAAAATTAATGTATGACTGCCGATATTCTGAACACTATTTCTATTCATTTATTGTAACTGTCCTAATTCTTACAGATGGATTATATGAAGAGAGTCGTGCAAAAAAAGTCAAGCTACTACTTGCTGTGTATCCTCGCTCTGTAACAAATTGTTGAATGGCCCATGATAGAGGTTAGCCATCTAAGTATTCCTGAGGCGGTAGCAGATGTATTCCCCAATCTCTTTTCTTGTTTACTGTTTGTGGATGGTGGTTGCGTTACCGTAATCTGGAGAGGGCTTATTTTCTTTTGCGCTGCTCATTTGGCTTCACTTAAAAGCAGATTGTGCATCTTCATCATGTCATGGAGATAGCAGTAATTCAATTTCAAATGTAATCCATCCTAATCTTGGCACGACTTCACTGTTTCTCTCTCTTTTTTTTTTTAGATTTTTAGTGATAACATTTAATGTTTTAAAAAGATGCATCACAGAGGCCGTGCTCAGAACTGTATGATAGATACTGTATTTTGATCAATCAATCAATCAATCAATCTTTATTTATAAAGCACTTTTCATACAGAGAAAATGTAGCACAAAGTGCTTTACATAGTTAAAAGCAGCCCACCCCACCCTCCAACTCACTCCCCACACTCTCAATACACATATATCCCCCCACCCCCACCATGATCCCTTTGTTTGAAACTTCATATCACACTATAACACAAATTTTCTGTGGAGTTTGGATTTTCTAAATGAATAAAATCTTTAAATCTGTTTCTAAAACATTGTTGGCATAAAGTATTAGAACTTTTAATAATCGTTACACTTAATGGTATGTCATATATGCTTTGTAACTTTAGGTCTGGCTCCTCCTAGCAGAGTAAGGGAGGGTCAGGTGACAGATACATCCATTAAGCTGCTTTGGGATCCTGCACCAGGCCAGGATCACAGCTACGAGGTCATCTGTCTCAACTGTGAAAGCTCACAGAAGGTAAAAATACAACAACAAAAAAAGCTCCCTGTTTAGGAAGCATATCAACAGAAGCCTTTATTTGATTTCCCCGACAACTTTTCAGTGTCTGGTTTGATAATTAAATCAGAAGTTTTCACACCCACTGAAATAAATTTCCTCGAGTGTTGCACTAATCAGAAGTAGCTTCAGGGGAGACTTATGGTAAACAATAATTGGCATGTTTTTAATGTATTCAGTATAAATATATACACTTCTGTAAGAAATATAATAAGGGTCTGGGTCAGCTTTGCTGGTTATCTGATTTGTGTGCTGCAGGTGCAGAAGGTGTTGAGTCAGAGTGCAGTATTTTCAGGTCTTACTCCAGGCTCGCTTTACCGATTCGAAGTACGGACAGAGAAGCAGTCCTTTACTGACAGTTCACCAGTTACGATTAATATCACTGCAGGTAAATACAGACACACAAGTACAAGCACGTCTCTGTCTCTCTTTCCTAATAACTATCACTTTCTGCTGTGCCAGCTCCCAGCCCAGTGGAGGTCTCTCTTGTCAATAAAACCACATCATCCATATGCATTAGTTGGAGTATGTTGAGGGGATTGGTGACTACACTCATCCTGTCGATCAAAAACAGAACAAGCACTCAGGAGCTGATCACATCTTATCAGGAGCCCAGGTCAGTCTCCGTTCTTCTCAGCCAGTACACAAATTACTGCGGGTTTATGAGCCTGGCGTTTCAATCATCAGATCGAAACTACTTAAAAACACCGAGTGCTAAAGCTGAGTGTGTGTACACAGATTATTCTGCTTCAAGTGCCTCGCTTCTGGAAGCCAGTACACAGTTGAAGTTATTACCATCAGTGGGGACAGAAGAAGTAAACCTGCTACTATGACCCTCTGTACTAGTAAGTGTTCAATCGAATAATGTTGATGAAGTACAAAATAGATGAGCGCAAATAAATTCAAATGTATTCAGAAATAGCACGTATTAGATAAAGAAGAGAAGAAAAATTACTTCTATCTGCATTTGTTAAGGTTCACTTCAAAGGTAGACCTGAATGCAGACAGAGTAAAATCAAGAGTGAACTTTATCTAAAAACTGATCATCAGAGTCTATAAAAACAGCAAAACACACAATAGACAGCCAAACAGAGCAGAAGGCCGGACTATATTTACACTGAAGACTAACAGGGCATCGCCGATGGAAGAGGAATGAAGCACAGGCAAGTAATCAAGACAGTCAGACTGGAAGTAAAACACAAAACAAGACACCAGAGAAAACCAACTATCAAAGTAAAGCAGGAAACAATCCAAAAGAGATGGAGACAACAAGACTCAGACTAACATAAAGGCGTAAACACAGAAACTAAACCCACATAGCAAGCAGGTCTGGCCCAGATCTGGTATCAAGCCGGCACTGCTGGCGGACTTCTGGCATGATAAGACATATGTCATCCAGATATGGGCCAGGCCTGACATAGATGGCACTGTCTACGTGATGGCATGCCATATCTGGCTCGATTGTGGTTTGGTTTATGTGGCCCAGGCCCATAGAAAACAGGTCTGGCCCAGATCTGGCACCAAGCTGGCACTTCTGACTGTCTGGTTTCATGGCAGAGTGTATGTCAACCAGATGTGGGCCAGATCTGGAAATAATGGAACTATTTATGTTCCTATTTTAGTTAGAAGACCCAAATGCCATGTTGCAATACTATACTGCTATGGTAGCCAATGTTTCAAATGCAGATTTGACAGGTTTGTGAGTGTACACTTTATCCAAAACCTAGTAACGGTTTAGTCATCTCTGCCAGTGGGTGGCTGTAGCTCAGAGTGGGTCACCTACTGATCGGAAGGCTAGTGGTTCGATCCCTGGTTTCTCTAGTTTGCATGTCAAGAGTGTGAATGTGTATCAGTGTAGTTAGAAAGCACTCAGTTAAGAAGAGTGTGTGTGATAGGGTGAATGTGGCATGTTGGATAGACCACTTTGAGTAATCTGGAAGACTAGAAAAGCATTATATAAGAATCAATCCGTTCACTGTCTGAACAGAGTTTCGTCTGTTATTTTTGCACTGTTTTGCATGTTCTGGCACATGTTGTTATTACATGCCTTGATTAAGGTATGCATTAGGCTGACATCTGGGGCCAGAGCTGAAACTCAATTTCAGTTAGTTAATTATCAGTTTAACAAAACGTTATCACAACAATCTAATTCATCATTAGAACAACCCTAAAGCAGAAGCAGGAAACATAAACTTAATAATGTCACAAAAACTCGAAATTACTAAAACAACCGCAAAATCAAAGCTGAATATACAACAGAAAACAGCAACTCAGAATAATCACAAAACCACACGACAATAACAGCATTTCTACAGCAAATTTGGGTAAAACTGTGTAAAAATTAAACATTTTGAAATCGCTGTGTTACAGCAACCAATGCATCAAAAATGATTTAGCTCATTAAAGTAAAATAAATTCATACAAAACAAAATATATTGGAAAGGTAAAAAAAATATATACTAAGCAATGGAACAACGAACTTAAACCAATAAAAATATCCAAAAAAGTACAGAAAATATTTTTAATAATGTAATACTATAATCAGTTATGTTGCATATAGAATTAGGTCCATAATTTGTTGGACAAAGATACATTTTTTTTGTAGCTTTGTCTCTGTATACCATTAAAGTGGATTATAAATAAAGTCAAGATGTGATTGAAGTACAGACTCTGAGCTTTCATTCAAGAGGTTTAACAAAAGCACTGCATTAATTGTTTTGGAATTACAGACATTTTTATACATAGTCATCATTTTTAATCACCAGTCTGTAATAATTAACCATTATAATGCTTATTAGCTACAGTAAACATTAAAGTAATTGATACTTTTGGTAAATTTAGCCCATCTTTTGATTGCCTTGTGTTCAAATGCATGACTTTTACTTTTAAAAGACTGTTTTTATACTGCAGTATTGCTACTTGCACTAGAGTCTCAATACACCCTCCACCACTGGTGCTCGGTCGTATCCAGTGTCGCCCCCTGCTGGTTTAGAATGAACTGAACCAGTAAAGAACACAGAAAGTTTAACTTTTTAGGTGTGAGTATGTGGTGTCAAATGCTAACAAGCACCTTGTCTCAAGTTCCTGAGGTGCCACAGGAAGTGACTCTTTCAGAAAACGCAGTGACGTCTGTGTCTGTCACCTGGAGACCGCCACCAGGACAGGTGATGCAGTACAAGGTAAGACATGCACAGCAATGCACAAGTCCAGAGGTAGAGGCAGTACGAGATGCCATGGTATATTGGTATACTGATTCATACCCCCAAAATATTGATTAATATGATTGATAGATAAAAGTACATCACCTGGGTCAGGTTCTACACTCACCTGTTGTTACTAAGCAACTGCTGTTGGCACGCCACGGATTTGGTTACTTCAGAGAAATATGACCTCCACAGAGCTACATCCAGGAAGAATGACCAAGCACATTGCCGACACACAACAAAAGTGCTCACTGAGTTATTATTTAAAGCAGAAAATATGAGCAATATTTAAAATGTTGAATAAAAATAGACAGAAATATAATCTGTTATATTAGTTGTTTTTGTTTTTGTTTTTTTCTCAGCTTCTTTTTGGCCTGCTGTCTGTAGACAGGAAGTCATGGACCGAGGTGCTTGTCCAAGGCACAAGTTGTGAGGTGAAGGATCTGATCCCCGGATCAGATTATGGGGTTAGCGTTCAGAGCGTACTGGGCTCAGACTCCAGTCATGCGGTCCACAAAAGGTTCAGCACACGTGAGTGACGCAAAAGCATCTAGAAACAGAGACGCACCGAAACAAGAGCACTTTCCAAAACAAGAGGCAAAAATTCTAAATTGTCTTTCAGGCCCAGCAGGAATACACCATCTCTATTTAGATCACCTGACCTCTTCTTCTGCGTCTGTGAGCTGGGACAGTGCACATGGAGAGTTTGACTTCCACCGAGTGACTGTGACCAACACTTTAGTCACGTCCACACTCACCATACCCAAGGAGAAGCAGGTTGCTGTGGTTACAGGGTTGCTGGGTGGCTGCAGCTACAACGTGACTGTTGAAAGAGTGAAAGGAGTGACAGCAGGACGCTCTGCGTTTCTGACTGTAACTACAGGTAAATGATATCACAAATGATGCTGGTCAGCACCTCCACCCCGTTCTTATCACCAGCCTTGATCATGTCTTCATAAATGTTAGAAACTCTCTGCTAACATTGTTTTCCCCTTTCATGTTCTTCTTGAGTGCCAGCCCCTGTGCAAGGATTACATATCACAAACCTATCTGCATGTGCCTTCTCGTTGCGTTGGGAACAGGCAGTAGGGTGTGTGGATCATTACCAAGTAAATCTGCTACCAAACCAAGGAAATATCACCATGCACCCCGCACGTGACGGATACATTCAGGTACACACATACTTAGTTAGACGCATGCTGTTTTAAGGTTAAGTTAAGAAATGTACCATAATTGTAGACGCTGGGACAACAAGCGTGTAAAAAGTTCACCTAAGTATCATCAAAGCCTTTGTCATTTCACCAAAGCAGTGTTTGAGTAAAAGGAACAAACTCAGAGTTGCAGTAGTGTTGTAATATTAAAGTGAAAAAAGTACACACACATACACACATAGATCTCTTGACCAGTCACATTCCGGCTTCTACCGGCAGCCAGGTGTCAGTTACCCCCCAAAATGTAACCTGACACACCTCAAACCACACACATAGACAGTACACAGAGTTGAGTAATAGATCTCATTATTTGTTAAGTTGCCCTCTTGAGCTCAACCCTGAATCATTCATTTGCTTAAGCAGCTCTCCTGGAGGGAGAGACCAGTGGGAGACTGTTAGCCTTGTGCTAATGAAAGGACCCACTGCCCTTCCTTGTAAAATTCCAAACATTTTGGACTACCTCAAGAGCAGGATCTTTCAGTATTTAATGCCTGGATGACTAACCCTGTAACCTTCATTAATGCCATTAACCAGCAGCTTCTAGACTCGGAGTCATCCCTGTCCGGCTCACTGGATTACCTGTAGCCCACTGCTAACATTTGTGCACTAATTCTGGAAACAGGTATACTGGTGAGGCCTCTAACCTGCTGTGACTAAACTAAAGCTAACTCGAAAACCCAGCATGGCCTTCTTCTCAGACATCCTACTGCTCACACTGTGCCTGGGCCAGGTGCATTCACAGGTAAGAATTAGACAACGGTTACATGGCTCTGGTGCACACAGTTATTTCTAAACTGCGCACATAGATATGTTATGTATGTGTAACAGTAATACACTAACCATTCAGAGTCACGTTTTAGCTTTACAAATGAATGCACATGCAGTAAGATCAATTTTAAAGCACCCTTTCTTTCCGTGTCTGAGTGTTTAGTCATTTTTCTGAAAGGTAACACACTATCCAACACCTTGATGTCACAGATGCTACAACATGCACTGAAGCAAAAAAGCAGTGATGCGGGAAGCAGAGCTCGTCTGTCTCACAGATGTTAAAATGGAAACAAGTGCAACCACAAGCTGTCATCCATTCACTAATACCCACCTTCAAATTGATTTAGATGGATGAGGAGAGGTCTGGTAATTCTGTCATAGGCAGCATAATGGAGTAAAATAATGGAGTGAAAATTGCATGTATTTTGTCATTTAGATGAATATTACTGCAAAAAAACTGAAGAAAAAAGACAATAAAAGACAAATGAAAAGACAATAAAGGGATTACTGCTGCATGTGTTGTCTAAAAATGTTTAAGCAATTTTTCAGCTGTCTATAATTTTAAGCAATAATGATTTTGCATAAAATCCAGTTTAAAATCCATCAAACAAAAATACATTTAGGTTTTAAAAGAGAAATAATTGGGAAGTAGCACGTTACATTGCTGATGAGCAAGTAGATTTATTTATTTTTCTGCTCCCACAGGCCGATGTGGTAAATGTCAGCCCCAAGACACAATACACTGTAACAGTCACAGCAGCATCCTCCTCGAACATCAGCCCTGGAGTCAGCCGCATGATCAACAGGAATGGGAGCGGTAAGACACACACACACAGTTTGGTGCTGTTTGTGTACGTTTTGTTTTTTCAGATGTTAAAGCACCATCAGGAACTCGTTTTGTATTTGCTCACTGTATATATATATATTACACACACACATACACACTGAGGAAAAGGGATTGGCACAGTGGAGGTGTGTGTATAAATGTGTGTGTGTGCCTACTTTGCTGTTTAATTCCTTTTAGGTAACTTAAGCCTGGGCTTTTGAACCACAGGATGAATGGGTCTGCAGTGAATGTCAGTGAAATGCCACTGCTGTGTGAAGCCTTATTCATCAGGGTTCAGCCTAAAACACCCTTCATGCAGACCCAACACACACACACCCACACACACTCAGAGGATCAGTCTACAACAGATAACAACACCATTCTTCAGACGACACAGTAGTCTGTCGGGTAGATAATACAAAAGTTATTAATCAAAACAAGTGTACTGAGTTTGTTTTGTTGGTGATGTTTTACACAGGAGAAGCCGAGGGGATTAGATAAGAGATTACATATTTGAGCCCACTGAGGCGCCAGTTGGCTCAAGTACAGATCATTAACAAACATGTAATATACAGCTATTTGTGTAATTTTTAGATATTTTTAGTTTACTTGTGTTCTGCTTATGTTTACATCATCTCCTCTCCTTCACACGGCTGCCCTCATCTTCATCAGTTCCTGGTCCACCTTCAGACCTAGACGGAGATGCTGTCGGCTCTAATGGCATCATGCTTTCCTGGAATATACTGCCTAATGCCAAAGATATAGATGGATATGTCATAAGGTAGTTTTTCAAGATCTTCTTTGGAAAACTGTCTAAGATACATACACTATCATAGTTTAGTATAGTCAAAAGTTTTGATCTCACATCTTATGTAAAAGTGCAGTATAATCAGCAACATGTACTAAACAAGTGCTAAATACTTATTGATCTGTCTATATCTCTTCTATGTAGTTTTTCTGTCACGTTTACACATGTTGCCAAAAGGGATGTCGCAGAATACCTTCTGCTGGACAACCTATACAACATCAACAATGATCACTTCTTCACTTTTACAATTTTCATTTATTGACCGTTATAAATGCAGATGCCAATATTAGCAGCAAATAGCCAGAAATTGGCATTTGAGGTGTTCGAGATACATGTCTACAGTACAACCTGGCTTTTTTGTGCAAAAATGGTTTGAAATACTTTCCTAGGGATTATTTTTAATGTTAAAAATATATTACAACAAGACCTTATTACTATATGTTAAAAATTCAAAGATCAGCACAGAGCTAGTTACCAGTTTTTGGATTAATGTAGATCAGTGAAATATTCACCTCATGAAGCAGCTGTATAGCTGGTTCCATAGAAGAGGGGCCTGAAAACTGAAGGCTCTGCCTCCCGTTGTACTTTTAAATAATCTAGGAACAACAGGTAAACCTGCAGTGCGAGAGCAAAGTGGGTTGATATGGCACTATAAGGTCAATAAGATAAGTAAACAAGAAATATTAAGTGTAGTTGAGTAGAGTTTGACAGTTTTGCATCTGACCATATATTGTATTTTCATTCAGTTGCATAAATTTCATAAGTGTGAAGTTGAGATATGATGATCTTAACTAACTGGTTTCTTACTGCAGGTACAAGGAGGTGTGTCCTTACCCTGACCCCGCTTTCACACAGGTGACAAAATACCTGGATATACCAGAGACCCTGATCACTGACTTTACTTCAGGATCTACCTACCACATTCAGGTAGAATATAATAGTCAGAATTAAATTAAGTTTACAGTCAGATTGTTTGGTGAATTCACTATAAACAACAAAACAAAATAAAACTCATTCTCGGGAACTGCTCCAACTTACCTGTTTTGACTACAAAGCTGTGGCCCAAAGGAGTTACAGTGGCAGGGGTTCAAGTCTGCTCCACACCATTTCTTTCGTGTCTTTCCCCCTTTTCCTGTCTAGTCTCTGGAGTCTTATCAAATAAAGGCTGACCTAGCAAATTTTGTTTAAAAAGTCCCAGATTGAATCAAAACAGAACAAGCTGTCCTGCAGGGATACTGCACATAAAATAGCTTTTGAATATGAGTTTTTATTATGTTAAAATGAATTGATTAATAGATATACTTCTGGGAACTGTGATCATTGTCCCTCTTAACAGACCTCCTTGAAACTGCCCCCCTCCCAGCATGTGAGTGTGTAACTATGTGACAGAGGATCAGATTATTCTGTTGATCTGGCTGAATACTGGTAATTGATCCTGATCCTGATTGCATTATTAAACAGGTAAACAGATCTATGGATGAGTCTTGGCTCTTTCCACTATCTGTTGTCAGTGAGCTTGAATGCGATCATGCTTAAAGGTTTTCAGAATTCATTAACCCGCTATGACCTTCATACAAATGGACGAGACACACTTACAGATTATAGCTGCACATACTGCATTTATCTGTGTGTGTTTGCACGTATAATGTTACTAAATTTTACCTTTGAGTTTGCTAGACCTCTAGACCCTACGCACAGCTGAGCCCATAAGCAAATTCGTATTTCTTCCTCAGCCTATAATAGCCCTTATACTCTTGTCACCAAGTGTATAAGGGCTATTATTTCCCCACAGATTTCTCAATAAACAAATAGAAAAAGCATTTGTGCCACAGATTAGCGTTTTAATGAAAGCTGCATTGTTGCACTGTATTTTTACAAGGGCAAAAATCTCTTCTGCTCTGTCTTTTTCAACAGTAATTCCTCAAAGTAAAGCCCATTGAGTTTTTCTCTAAAGCTGAATATGAGATAGTTTTTCCTCAACTTACCTATTTCTGATGTGAAGCTGAAAGCATTCAGTTTAGAAAGGCACGGATACAGCCATTTGTCATGTTGGCATAAAGAATGGAAGTCGAATAATAAAGAACAATCTTGCATGTAGGCAAGTGGTAAACAGAAAAAGTGAAAAACAAAACAAAACAACTGGAACCCATTTGATGTGTAAGGAACTGACAGAGAACAACGGCGTGATTTCAGATATGAATAAAGGAGGAAGGTTTAGTCAAGAACAGGTGAAGCAGGTGTGAGAGTTAGGTGACAGGAAACACTGAGAAAATCTGAGGACATGAGGGTTATGTTTAGCTCACCTGTATTGTAGTGTTGCACCTAGATCAACTGATCCATTATGTCCATTGCTTGTTTAATTATTCTGGGGTTACCCTGTATGTGCTTGGCTGCTGATTGGATGACACTGACACGAACCAGAGAAACGCCTGCAGCGCCCCACTGCTAACCGTTTCGTGGCAACAAGGTAGAAACAAATAACTGAACGCTGTTTTCTGATCTCAGGCAGGAACGAAATACATTTTTGCTTTGTTCTTTTTTAAGATAAGATGTCAGTTCCCATACTACTCCAGTACAAAACTAAAATCCATTTAAGTGGCTCCACAGTTGACCTGATAAATTGCTATTTAATTTTGATCCCACCTTAAATCACTGGAAAAAATTCAAAGACTTGAGACTGTGTTGTGATCTGTTTACATCTACGCTATACAATGAGATATATTTTTGTAGAATATATATCTCTGGGATCTCTGAATCAACTCTGCTACGGCAGCTTGTTCCAGCAGCCTGAGATTAGCACATGACTGGGAGATGATAACTGACAGGAACATGAATTAATCATTATGCCTACCAACACTTCCTCTCTCTCTCTCTCTCTGTTTCTCTTTAGGTAGCAGCTATATCTCCATTTGGAGTAGGAGCATTCAGCAAACCTTTATACATAAAGACAGCAGAGTCCCGTGGGTATTCATGCACAAGCACACAGCCTTGCACTCCGATCCAAGCGTCTCAACATCATAAAAAAATAACATGTGCATGTATATTTCACTGAATTTGCATGTGTATTCACATCCTGCAGCCCCTGGCCTGGTGACCAATCTCACAGCGTATGCTCATAACCACACCTTCGTCGTCCTTACCTGGTTCTTGCCACACCGCATCAATGGCCTCATCACAAAGTTCGCCGTCAAGGCCAAATTTGCTCGTACTGGGCAGATTGTCCGTTTGCTGGAGGTCAATGCAGTGGACATCATGACTGTAGCCCTGCCTCACTGCAATGTACTGTGTTTTTCCTTCACCCTCCTTCTAAACTGTGCTGTTATTGCCAAGTGTTTTTGTTCTATACTACTTTCCTGTCAAGATGATAAATAGCACAAATGCACAAGGCCGACCGTCTTTTCTCTTTCCTTTTTTTCTTAAATGCACTCTCTCTTTTTATCCCGCATGATTTCATGTGTCTAGGATGCAGCCGATATCCTGTCCAGTGCGACTCTCAGTCCCTTGGAGATAACAGCATCATCGCCACCCATCACCCTCTCTGCTGTGCCCCCTGCAGCCTCTTGGAACGTACCCATATCAGTAGGAGTTGATCAGCTACGACCTTATATTGCCTATCTATTTGAGGTGTCCGCCTTCACCTCTGAAGGAGAGGGACAGGTAGCCTCCACTATGGTTCGCATGCCAGAATCAGGTGTGGAAAAAGAAGTGTGCAAACACTTTAGCACTAATTAAGCTCGTATTCATATTAGCACTGAGGTATGAAAACAAATATTCCTGCTTGTGCAGCTCCAGAAGACCCGCCACAAAACTTCTCTGTATTCAGCATGACGTCTCGATCATTCTCTGTGTCCTGGAGCCCTCCCAGCATCACGACAGGAAAGTTCTCCTACGTACTCTACCTTCATGGACCCACAGGTGGATAAATGTTGACTCAGAGCAAACACAGCTACATGCACACATAATACACGCAAAAATCAATGCAGTTTTAAATTTTGTTCTGGTTTTTTTTAAAGGTTTTATGTATGAGAACAGCACAGGAGATACCCGTTTTGCTTTTACCGGTTTGAAACCCTACACGAGGTACATAGTAGCCGTCCGAGCAAAAGCAGCTGGTGAGGTGGGTCCTGCAGCGAAGGGAGACATCGTTACACCTGCGGAAGGTGAGGCAGTTACAAGATTGAAGTATAAATGAAAAAGTTCAGTTTAGTTAGTTTAATGTAGTTTCACTTTTAATACAGACGCACACATTGGTAGCAAATAAAATAAATACATACAAAATACAAGAGCAAATTTAGTTTTCGTGCTTCTGTTTATCTATGTGCGTGTGTGTGTTTGTGAGGGTAGCACCCAGTGCAGTGCAGCACCTGATGGCAATTGCTGAGGATTCAGTTTCAATTCGTGTAAGTTGGAAAAGCCCTGCCCAGCCCAACGGTCCCATAATCCAATACAGACTCCTGGTGCTGGTTGAGGAAACTCTGCTCCAGAACATCACGATGACAGCAGTAAGCCAGATGATATTATCTCTACCGCTCTATGCTTCCAGCTTAAAAAACACAGTTAAAGACATGTGATATGTTGCTGTGTCATGAATACTTGTACAATCCATTACAGCTGATGATACACTGTCGTCGTTTTACGGTCAGATGTAAGACCACTACACTCTCAAAGATCAATATGGTTCAGCAACACTCTGCAATAGTCTACAGTGGATTATCGGCTTTTTTAAACCACTAGTCTGGTGGATTACAATGGACTGTGTGCTGCTGTATCCTATTATAGGAATAATTAAAAAAAAACACCTACTTTATATCGGAGCCCCTTTAATAATGAGTGCTATCTACTGATGCTTACTGATTTTATTAGAAATCACATTAAGGGCTGATGAGTCTCATATATCCATATATAAGGTGGGTTTTTTTTGTCTCCTTTCAGAATACAACTGGTTTTTATGAAAATGAAACACATCCACCTGATGTCCATAACAGTTCAAAGAGGCATAAAAGAACTGCTGAGCTTGGTCTGATCACATCTCCACCAACTTTTACAGCTACTATTTCAGACCGCACGCTGCACACTAGTGCTACTGCTTCCAGTTTCACACACTCTGGACTTAGAAGCACTGATTACATCACTAACACGAATGCTCAGCCAACCACTTACCCCATGGCCACCAACAGGCCCAGCCCTGATTATGACACTGCCTCACGCTCTGACAACCCAAATATGCAGTCTTCTGACTCTGCAGTCTCTGGAACGTCTGCACTTTCTCTTACCTCTGTGCCATCTGTTACACTTCCACCCTGGCTTACGAAGCAATTACATGCCGGGGAAGCGACCTCAGGCTCTGCCCCCTTGGCCCTGACCCCAGGCCAGCTTCGCTTGTCTACACTTGATGCTTCAATTACAGAACACTTTTCAACACGCAGCGGTGCTGTGTCTGGTACCACAGGTGGGAGAGCTAACTGTAAACACTGCATTTTTTTAACTTTGCTTTGCTTCGCTTTAACCAGAATTATTATTAAAAAAAACCCTTGACTATTCATAAATCCTCTGTGCATGTGTCTGCATGAATCTGCAGGGGTAACAGTGAGACAGGAGGTAATGGACGTTCTGTCTGAGGAGTTGTCCTACTTGGTGTCAGATCTAGTTCCCTTCACTGAGTATACATTCAGGGTCACTGCTTCCACCACTGTAGGAGAGGGCCCTGCTGCAAATATCACAGAGAAGACCAGGGAGCAGGGTGGGTGCTTATGGTACACGTTTAATAATTGTAATAAATATTAACAAGAAAAAAATGTTAATAGAGCTGTTAAAGGTGCCCAATTTTAACATCTTGTGCGTCTGTATCTTTTAGTTCCTAGCTCCGTGCTTGAGGTATCCTATCAGAATATCAGCTCTACCTCCATTCTAGTGAGCTGGACCCCACCCATCAATCCCAATGGGCGGATCACACATTACACTGTTTATGGTCTCAAACTGCCCAGTAATCAAGGCCTGAAATGGGTTACTAGCACTACCAGCATATTGATAACAGGTAGCGTCTTCATTCTCTTCAGCTGACATTTTCTTAAGCCGTTAAGTATAACTGCCACTACAATGTTAAGTATCACTTTTCCCTCTTGTTATGTATAGATCTGGACAAGTACACTCCTTATAAGCTTCGTGTAGCTGCATCCACAGTTGTGGGGGAGAGCTCACTTTCTGAGGAAGATGACATTTTTGTTTTCACTTTAGAGGATGGTACGTGTTGGACTTTTGAATTTATACACTCACAAATACAAGATGCCATCATACATTTCTGTAACTTTTCCCATAAAAATAAAAATCCTCACCTGAATACAATTTGGCCGATATCTCCTTCAAGGTCTTCCTGTAGAGCTGCTACTTTTCAGTCAGTCCCTCGAGGGCCCGTTCCTGACCACTTGGCATAAATTGAAAAAACAAAACAAAACTGCATTTTAAAAAATAAAATGTGCGATGAATGTAGAATAAAAAAAACAACAACAGATTTCTCTTGCTTGTGCTTCTGAACTCTCATTAACTGCTCATTCAGTTTGATGCAGAAGCTCATTCCTGCTCTCACAGCAAGTTTGAGGCAGACGTGTGAATGCAGCCGAACTGGAAGCATTCAGGAGGTGCACAAGGAGATGAGCTTGAATGGAGGGTCGGCCAAATTTAAGTCAAGAATGTGGTTTATTTTTGCTGGTTGCAAAACTTTAGCATCGTGCTGCCTGTATGTGCAAATGTAAAAATCTAAACTTTGTCTGAATTCTGTTTATAATGCTTGGATCAACTATATGTTATCAATGATTAATGAATATCCAGTGTTAAGTTTTTTAAATTAATTAATCATGAGCTTTGCCTAATAACTATTACTGTATTCTTTATAAATTGCTTGAAAATGTAACTTTTTTATTAACTACCTACTGCAAATACTGACAAGTTCTCTGTTTTTTTTCTTCTCCCTCTTAGAGCCCGACTCCCCTCCTGTAAACCTCACTGTGGTAAACACCACCCCCTCTACTGCCACAATAGCCTGGTCTGCACCAGAGAAAGCTAATGGGGCGATCCAGCAGTATGAGGTCCTGTATGAGAATGAATCCTACTCTGCGCTGGTGAACACGTCTTCTAACAAAGTCACCCTGTTCAGTCTGAAACCATTCTCCTTTTACAATGTGTCTGTGAGCGCGTACACGTGTTATGGAAATGGCAACCAGACATCAGACACTTTATACCTGTTATCTGGAGAAGATGGTGCGTTGAAGGATGTGCCCACCTTCACAGATACATTCATATGAACGGCTTTAGAGTGAATACCAACTGTTTAACCAACACGTTATGATGTTTTATTCCTTCTCCAGTCCCGGGCAGTCCTCCATATGGGCTCTCCTATGAATCAGTTAGTCCCAGTGAGGTGAATGTGACGTGGATGCCTCCTCTGCTGCCTAACGGCATCATTATTCACTACAGCTTAGAGATTTGGAACTCCAGTCACTACCTGAACCTGACCTCGCGAACCAACTACATCCACATCACGCATCTGAGGAAGTACGCACACTACCGCATCGTAGTTCAAGCACACACAAGAGTCGGAGCAGGAAACTACAGCAGCGAGCCGCTCAACATCACAACACTTGAGGATGGTGAGAGAGGCGTGAGTGACAAGAGGAAAAAATGGGGGTGGTGTGGGGGTTCTTTTCAGTTCCAGGACACTCCACCATTACGTCATCACAGGCTGACAAGTTCGAAGGGCATCTGATTAAATCTGACTTTCCTCTAGTCTTTTCCTCCTCACGTCTCTGTTTCAGCTCATGCTAATGATGTTACATCACAGATATCCGATGCCACGTGACACTCGTGTTTTCCACCACGACTGGGAAGCACAAACAACAGATTCATTACAACTAATCAGTTTTTTTCTTTTCAGGGAAATGTTCTATTTTTTCTAGTGTCTTCCTGTGTGCCTTTTGAGTCCCTGATTTCCACAACGATAAATATTTTAGAAATTAATTTCCGTTTACTTGTAAGTTCACCACCAATGCAGGTTTGTGCTACGTTATTGGAAAGTCTTTCTCGTGCGTCTCAGCTCCAGGCACACCTCCTCAGTTTCTCCATGCCAGGAAGTTGTCAGACTATGAGGTAGAGTTATCATGGCAGCCACCACTCGAGGCCAATTCAGACATACTCTACTACATTGTCAGAGTCTGGTAAGGTTTTGAACTCTACTTCCATCTAATAACCTTAAAAGAAAACACAAATAATGCAGCGTCTATGTGTTAGGAATGAAACGACTGACCTGCGGAAGAATGTGACAAAGACTTCGGTGGTTATTAACGTGGATTCAGAGAGTCGCTACAATGCCTCTGTCTCCAGCTGGACCAGACTGGGGGATGGAGGAGTGCTGATCTACATCAGCTTTACCACAACTGATGCAGGTGCTGGATACATGTTATGCAATCTTTAAACATTATCGTGTTATCCTCACATAAAAAAATAACATTTCCTCTTAAGTGATGTTTTATCGCACAACTTGAGTTTTTGTCCTTTTAAACTGTCTCCTTTCAGAGCCATTTGACCCCCCGCAGAATGTGACTGTTGTTAATGCAGACGCCTCCTCTGTTACCTTGATGTGGTATCCACCCACTGAACCCAACGGGATCATTGTACACTACACTATTTACTACTCATTTAACAACACTGTGACTGAGAAGGTGAGACAAAAATACTGAAGACAGATTAATTGAGTCAATAAGTCGGATGAAAGGTGCTGAATGTAGTAATCACCGCAAAGTACCAGATTCCTTTATAGCATTTTAGCTCCAGCACACACACACACACACCCTCCCCCCGCACAACCCTGATAAGGACAGATTGAATGATAAGGAAAGAGAATGTATTTATGGATTATTTTTTAGGTTGTCTGTCCATCCTTTTTGCTCAAGCTCATAAACACATTGTCTCTTAAGTTTAACTTTATCTTTAATAGGGTTTTTTTTTTTCAAAGTGTGGGGCTTACATCTGTAACCATTCATGTCACTGTGATGTTTTGGAGGGATGAACTGAATTTAGTGTTTAAAGGTCGCTGTAACCTCACAAAATATGTTTTTGGGGCCTAACAGGATAAAATAATGAAGTCAAGACATTTTCTTTTCAAAATATAAAGATATATTTTGAAAGATTTCTTCTTTTTCTTGTTCTTTTGGCTTGCCCATTTTGGAGTCGCAGCTGCAGATTAATCTGCCTCCATCTCACCTCATCACTAACAACCGCCTCTGCCACGTCAGCCCTCTGCATGTCCTCTGTCACACATCCACAAAGCTTCTTTATGGTCTTCCTCTTTTCCTCCTGCCTCCTTTGTCCAGTATCCTTCTTCTGCACATGTCTAGACCATCTCAGCCTCAACTGCTCAGCTGTACCTCTGTTGTACTCATTTCTAATCAAGTCTCTTCTCATTACTTCAACTCTGCTACCTCCAGCTTCACCTCCTGTCTTTTTGTCAGCACCGCTGTCTCCAAACCAACATCATAGCAGGTCTCACTAGCATGATGTAAACCTTTCCTTTCCCTCTTGCTGTTATCCTTTTGTCACACATCACCCTTGATACTCGTCTTCACTCTACCCTGCATACACACTTTTCTTCACCTTTCTTGCACACTGTCCATTACTTTGAATGGTTGACCTCAGGTATTTAAATCCATCCACCATCACTATTCGTTTCCACCCGTCTCCCTCTCATTCACACATCACACATTATCTGTCTTGCTTCTAGTGACTCCCATTCCACTTCTTTCCAGTCCATAGCTCCACCTCTCCAGGCTCTCTTACACCTTCTCACTGTTCTTGTACTCTCAGATGTTTTAGGACACTATCAGTCACAAAAATTCACCACAAGTTAGGCTACAAAAATGTTTAAGTAATATGTGTTTCATGGTATTTTTTAACAATTACATGAATTTGTCCTAGAATGTGTAAAAAATGTGAACTGAATGATAGCTGTGCTTACAGGTCATTCCACTGCCCATGTAAACAGTAGCCAAAAAGTGAAAAAATGCAGGGCAAACTTGCTTCCTGATGCAATGTATTGCACCTGATTTGTAACAGTATATATTTTGCTCTCGCTGAAATGCATTTTTCAGGCTGTGAAATTAAGCCTGACACATCTTTTTCTCCACAGACAGTTCCTGTTTCAGACTTATATTCCCACACCTCTCCTGACTCACGTCTCTCCTACACTCTGACTCGGCTGATTGGGGGCAATAACTACACCTTCTGGATGGCATCCAGCACTGTGCAGGGTGATGGAGGGGTCCATTCCGAGCCCTTAATCCTGTTATTACCAGAGGACGGTCAGTCAGACACACGCACACACAAACGCAGTACAAACGAGGATAAAGTAAATACACATACACATAAAATACTACTCGGAAAGCTGGATAATAATTGCATGCGATGATTAAGAGTCTCACCGGAGGGCAGGTCTGCACTCTTTTTTTCAGAGCTCTTCAACTTGAAAAAAAAATTACATAAAAACGCTGTGATTGAAAATAGCTTTCAGTATCCGTGAAAGGAGATAAAAAAAAATGACCACCTGTGACACTGCGCTTTGAAGACAGCCAGTTATGACAGCATGATGAAAAATGTTAGGGATTATAAAAAGGGAGGAACGCAGAAACACTTAAAATTTGTTGGCACAGAGATTCAACTGAGTTTGATGAGCTTTGAGGAAGTTCATATTAGTTCACACTACAGTCCTTGAATTTGCATTTATGCATATGCAAATATTTTGTTGCATTTTAGCATTTTAGCCTTTTAAAGCTCTTTGTTTTTATGTGATTTTCAAAAAAAACGGTGCAGACAGCAACTACAGACTTATTCACAAACTGACTGCATTTTGGCACTTTTTGTTTTGTTCAATTTTTCTTGTCGTGTATTCTGTGCCTCTGAATAATCACTGCTCACACTGACTCTGTATCTCTGCCTATGCTCTAGCTGCTCCACTCTCAGCCAGTCGCCGGACCTCCAGGGCACCTTGTCTGTCCCGCACAGCTAAGCCCAGCAGGGGTTTACTCCCCTGGGCTCAGACCCTCACACACATCCGGCCCCTAACATCCACTCATTCATCTTGCAGATCTCTCTGTTTTTTTTCTGTCCTCTGTCTCCTTCATCTATCTCCCCACCCCTTTTTTCTTTTTACTCTTTCTAGAGGACCTGACACCATAAGCAGGATGAGTATCACTTCATCTCTCTCCCTTTCATTCCTTAATTTTCAGTTTGTAAATTTCTTTTCTAAGAGCCTCTGTATTTCAAAATGAAGTCTTGTTAATCGTGCATTGTTTTGTGTATGTTTACTGTTTGATTTTGCTTTGTTCCTGTTTTCCTGTGCTGCCAAATTAATGTTATGCTGTATTGTTCTTGATGTGCTATTTCTTTGCTAATTACAATCACCCTGAAAGTTGATGATGATGATGATCATTGTGATGACTTCATTTTTAAGTCTCAGGGCATTGATTGATGCCCAATTTGATTCCGCACTCAAACGTAAACTCACAGTAAGGGCATAGAGTTTCAATCACTCGTGCCAGTGGAGATTAATAATAGTAACACTATTCTTCTTGTCTCATTCTTTAGTGCCAGGTGACTCGGTCCAAAACTTGACGGCACAGATCTTCAGCTCCACGGTAATCATAGTGAGCTGGGACCCTCCTCTGGAGCCAAACGGACGCCCCTACTACCTGCTCACCTTACAGGAGGCAGGCATCGTTCCAAACATCTCCAACCAAAGGGCTCCAGCTGTCAACAAGACCATAAAGCACACCACAACTGACAACATCTTCCTGTTCACCAAACTCAGGAAATATTTCCCTTATGTGCTGACTGTTACCCCAGCAACTACTGCTGGCCCTGCCTACAACCATACAAGCACAATGTACCTGAGAACGGATGATGACAGTGAGTTTATTCACAGATATTCACCCATGCAATATGTCTTTATGCATATGTTGTGGCACTGACATGTGTGCGGGCTTGTTTCCCTTTAGTTCCTAGTTCTGCTCCGTTGTTGGTGTCCACCAAGAACCTGTCTTCGTCTTCCATCGGTGTGGTCTGGCAACGCCCTCTGGAGGCCAATGGGGAGATAACAGAGTATACCCTGATTCTTGTTGGCCTGGAGGGCACCAACACAACACATACCCCCAACACCTCGTTCGTCCTCACTAACCTACTTCCATACACAGCTTACAATCTCACGATTACGGCCGCAACTCGTAAAGGCTCGGGGCCTAGTCTGCTGCTGCAGCTGCACAGCGATGAAAGTGGTTAGTTTGAAAGAAGAGTTTAAATGATTATAGTGGGATGGCAGAAACTTAATATTCTCTTCTCTATCTGCCCAACTTTATGATCCAGGTCCCACCTCTCCTCCCCGTAACCTGACTATATATAACCACACGGCAGTCTCTGTGTGGCTGAGCTGGGAGCCTCCTCTAGAGCCCAACGGAGTGGTGATAAAGTACGGATTTCGGATCCAAGACCTCATCACACAAACCGTCACACATCGGGTACTGTTAATTTCACACACTGAAAGCAGCCTCACAACAACAATAACACACACCTACACATACTCCAAGGACCCACTCAGTAAGAGTACACATGGGCAGGAGCTAATTTCACACTCCAGATGCTACTGAGCAATAACATGATACTTAAACTCACCATCACATATGTGCTGATATAGACATATTATCCACTCCAGCAGTCAGATTTAATATCGTATGTATTTCCTGTTTGTTTGTTTGTCTGGGAACAAATGCAGAATTCCTCTGGTTCATCAACCACAGAGTATCTCTCAGGCTTCAAGCCCCACAGCTCCTATGAAATCAGTGTGAACAGTTTCACCAGAGTGGGCCATGGGAATCAGTTCAGCAGCCCTGTGTCCTTCACAACCAATGAGTCAGGTAAAATATACACTGTATACAAACAAGGGACACATGTAAACACAGATATAGGTTTCCTTTCTCAATTAGAGCTTTGGAATGTTTTTTTGGGATGATAAGATTTGTATCAGCATCAAGTGGAGTGTGACTGTAGAAGTAGCAAAAAGAAAATGAGGCCATACAGCAAGGCTTTCATTAGGCCTTGGGGCAATTCTGGCAACCCGTTAGGCGACTCAGGAAGGGGACCCAGCTTCTTGTATACAGTGGAGATGCAGTGCTGCTAACCTTGCCTGAGGATAGTCAGGAAGTAGAAAGAATGCTTTAAGGACCTTCTCAATCTCAGTGACACGCTGTAGTGGAAGCAGAGTCTAGTGACTTGCCCATCACTGTGGCTGAGGTCACTGAAGTAGTCAAAAACTGTCCAGTGGCCAAGCCCCTGGATGGATGTAATTCGTCCTGGATGTTGTAAGGCTGTCTTGGTTGACATTGCCTCTGCAGCATCACATGGATGTTAGACACAGTGCCTCTGGATTGGCAGATCAGGGTGGTGGTCCTTAGTTTCAGAAGGAATACATTCCTCAGTCTCTCACCAAAGGTCTAAGTCAGAGAGCTGAAGAGGAGACTCTATCCAGTAGATCATTGCCTTTACAACCAGGACTCCTCTTTCTTACCAATTCTGTTTATAACTTTCATGAAAGGGATGGATAGAAATTCTGGAAATGGCCAAATTGCAAAGGGTTTCCACTTTATTGGCCTCAGACTTGCATCTCTGCTCTTTGCAGATGATGTGGTTCTTTGGGGCTCATCATGTGGGCCCCTCCAGCATGCTGTAAGATGGTTTGAAGCCAAGTGTGAAGCGGCTCTAATGAGAATCAGCAACTCTATGTCTGAGACCGTGGTAGTTAGCTGGAAAAGGGTGGAGTGCCTAGCGAGTCTGGGACTCCACCCCAAGTGGCGGAGTTTAAGTATCTCAGGGTCCTGTTCACAAGTGAGGAGAGAGTGTATAGTTGATCTACATTCCTACCATTACTTACAGTGGGGCAAAAAAGTATTTAGTCAGCCACCGATTGTGCAAGTTCCCCCACCTAAAATGATGACAGAGGTCAGTAATTTGCACCAGAGGTACACTTCAACTGTGAGAGACAGAATGTGAAAAAAAAATCCATGAATCCACATGGTAGGATTTGTAAAGAATTTATTCATAAATCAGGGTGGAAAATAAGTATTTGGTCAATAACAAAAATACAACTCAATACTTTGTAACATAACCTTTGTTGGCAATAACAGAGGTCAAACGTTTACTATAGGTCTTTACCAGGTTTGCACACACAGTAGCTGGTATTTTGGCCCATTCCTCCATGCAGATCTTCTCGAGAGCAGTGATGTTTTGGGGCTGTCGCCGAGCAACACGGACTTTCAACTCCCGCCACAGATTTTCTATGGGGTTGAGGTCTGGAGACTGGCTAGGCCACTCCAGGACTTTCAAATGCTTCTTACGGAGCCACTCCTTTGTTGCCCGGGCGGTGTGTTTTGGATCATTGTCATGTTGGAAGACCCAGCCTCGTTTCATCTTCAAAGTTCTCACTGATGGAAGGAGGTTTTGGCTCAAAATCTCACGATACATGGCCCCATTCATTCTGTCCTTAACACGGATCAGTCGTCCTGTCCCCTTGGCAGAAAAACAGCCCCATAGCATGATGTTTCCACCCCCATGCTTCACAGTAGGTATGGTGTTCTTGGGATGCAACTCAGTATTCTTCTTCCTCCAAACACGACGAGTTGAGTTTATACCAAAAAGTTCTACTTTGGTTTCATCTGACCACATGACATTCTCCCAATCCTCTGCTGTATCATCCATGTGCTCTCTGGCAAACTTCAGACGGGCCTGGACATGCACTGGCTTCAGCAGCGGAACACGTCTGGCACTGCGGGATTTGATTCCCTGCCGTTGTAGTGTGTTACTGATGGTGACCTTTGTTACTTTGGTCCCAGCTCTCTGCAGGTCATTCACCAGGTCCCCCCGTGTGGTTCTGGGATCTTTGCTCACCGTTCTCATGATCATTTTGACCCCACGGGATGAGATCTTGCGTGGAGCCCCAGATCGAGGGAGATTATCAGTGGTCTTGTATGTCTTCCATTTTCTGATGATTGCTCCCACAGTTGATTTTTTCACACCAAGCTGCTTGCCTATTGTAGATTCACTCTTCCCAGTCTGGTGCAGGTCTACAATACTTTTCCTGGTGTCCTTCGAAAGCTCTTTGGTCTTGGCCATGGCGGAGTTTGGAGTCTGACTGTTTGAGGCTGTGGACAGGTGTCTTTTATACAGATGATGAGTTCAAACAGGTGCCATTCATACAGGTAACGAGTGGGGGACAGAAAAGCTTCTTACAGAAGACGTTACAGGTCTGTGAGAGCCAGAGATTTTCCTTGTTTGAGGTGACCAAATACTTATTTTCCACCCTAATTTACGAATAAATTCTTTACAAATCCTACCATGTGGATTCATGGATTTTTTTTTCACATTCTGTCTCTCACAGTTGAAGTGTACCTCTGGTGCAAATTACTGACCTCTGTCATCATTTTAAGTGGGGGAACTTGCACAATCGGTGGCTGACTAAATACTTTTTTGCCCCACTGTATGGTCATGAGCTCTGGGTAGTGAACAAAAGAATAAAGCCCTGGATTCATCAGATGGCATCTTAAGAACAGCTTTCGGGCTTTAAATCTGTAGGATTTTCTTTACTTTTTGGGGCCAAGGACCACTTACGGGGAAGAAAACATTTCCAAGACCCCTGGTTATGGATCTTTGGGGTCTCTAGACCAGAACCTACGTCTAATGAAGTTAATGGGTTAAACTGGAACAAGAATTCTGGCTATTCTACCAAACAGAAACGAAAATAATAAATGAAATGTGATAATTAGACAGGTTTGATTTGTTGTGTTGTGTCGTGTAGTGTCACTTTTTTTGGACCGAGTATGTTTCTAGATCTTTAATAGTGAAGAAAAAAGATGCAGTTAGTCAATACAGATATTTGCACGTTAGTAATAATTCAGTGTTCTGTCCAAAAACCTGCAACCTTTTTAAGTTCAATTAAATAATAAACAGTTAATTTTGTGAGTTCTTTAGTAAGAAAATCAACCGAAAGCTAAGATTTGGGTTAACAACATCACTGTCTCGTGTCTTTCTCTGTCTGCAGTGTCTGACGCTGTAGGGAATCTGTCTTGCTCAGGAGTGAGCTGGGATTCAATTCTTTTGTCTTGGGAAATTCCTGCCAATCCTAATGGGCAAATCATTTTTTATGAGATTCAATTGGAGGTAGACCAGCAATCCTATAAACATGAGGCCCATACACCAGAGCACACAGTGACTGGGCTGTCGCCAGACCAGGAATATGCTCTCTCTGTAGCTGCTGTAAACTCTGCAGGACCAGGAGACAGATTAAACTGTACAGCTTCCACCCTTTCAGAATCAGGTAGTCAAATCTTCTTGTACTGCATTTTGCATAACCACCACAAGTGAATAATTGATTAAACCTTGTTGTCTCCTGACAGTTCCTGCTGCCCCTCGATTCCTCACCATCTCTCAGGTCACACCTAACAATGTGACACTTCAGTGGGCTCCACCACATTCTGTTCCAGGCCTGCTTAAAGAGTATCACATCATTGCACAGCTGATTTCAGCTAACTGCGAACCAAGCATATCAGTTAAAGCTCAGTCAACCCCGAAGGACGACCTGGCCCTGCATTGCATTGAACATAATGTGACAGTGTCGATAAATGCTTCAGATGCAGAACAGAAACAAAGCTTCACAATCCATCCCGTGGCTAAATACAGACACTACCGCTTCAAAGTTGCTGCTGTGACCAACGCTGGAGTCGGAGACTATACACAGTGGAAATATAAACGCACCATGGCAGGAAGTAGGAATGACATTGACGACATGACCTTTTTGTGTTGCCAGATAGCCAGAGAGATTTCCCGCTTAGTCAGACCTTCATGACCAATATTTGACAAATAATTACTTATTTGTTTTCAGACGTACCAGCAAAATTACACAGCTTGTCTGATGTTTCATTAGCAACATGAGCAAACACAGGCATGGTCAGTTGTTTTATTCTGAAAGATGTCTTTAGATGTTATATCATTATAGTTTAGCAGCGCGTAATTAAGTAGTAATTACCAAAATACTAAGGCTGTTGTAACATCATTATTACACATGTGTTTGACAAATGAAAGAGAAAAAGTAATAATTATAGTATAAATGGGTTAAATAGAAGCTGAATAAGAAATTATACTGATATTTATTGGACTGCACATGTAATGAATCTATATGCCAATCTAAACGACAACATATGATGACATCTAACAACTGCAAAACTACAGGAAAGGCATTTAAAGTGAGGTGGACCAAGTGATCCCTGCTAATCCCAAAGAATGATCAGTTAACACTAATGCAACAAAAGTACCTTTTTATTAATGTAAACATGTTAAGATTTAGTAATTAAAGTATTAAAATTGTTAGTCATGCCAATAACCTATAATACATAATACATTTGCAATGACATGTCCTGCATTGCTGCAGTAATTTTATTATCTAATATGTTCCGGCCAAATTAAATACTCGACCTCCCCTGCCAAGTACAACTAATGTATGCAGGAAAGTCTTCAGCTCATTAATTCAGTATTTAGAACAAAGAAAAGATTAATTACCTTATCTTGTTTAGTCTTGTTTGATTCATATAACCGGAGCCGCTCAGTTTTCAGTGTTTCTCTCATTTCCTTCCTCAGACCCCGATGCTCCTCCCCGTGACCTGAAAGTGACTTCCACCTCCAACAGCTTTCACATTGCGTGGGACGCTCCAGCTGTTCTCTCTGGACTGACTTCTTATCTTGTGCAGGTCATCTCGTTAGACTGTGTTTGTCACAAATATGAGCATGTCACCAATGAACTGTAGAACAAAGTTGGCTATTCTTAGAACAGCTCAACAGGGTATTATGTTGTTCAGGCTTTTTCAAAAAGCAGTAGCAATTTAAGTACAAGGCTATAAAAGCAATCCAGTATAACTTAATAACTTTTCTACATAATGTCCTGTAATGCCAGGTGGATGGTCCCGGGGTGAATATCTCAATAGTCAGGGCTCCAGGGGAGTTGATGACCATTGTTGTTACTAACTTGACGGCTTTCAGTCGTTACTCTGTGACTATCACTGCCTTCACTGGTGACTTGGAGCACGCTAGCAGTGATGGGAAAGCCATTGGACCCATTTACTTTCAAACAAAGGAGGAGGGTACGTCTTCACATTGTAGTGTCTGCACCACCTTCTGCCCACCTTTAGAGTTGACCAAATTAATACTGTTGTCTTGTATCTGACCCCAGAACCTAAAGACCCTCCAAAGAATGTGACAGTTTCAGTAATCCCAGAGGAAGTGCGTGCTGTGAAGTTGACCTTTAACCCTCCAGAGGAGCCCAATGGAAACATCACAGAATACATTGTATACATCTATGAGAAGGACCAGCTGGTCAGAAACATTAGCCTTAACATCATCCAAAAAGAGAATAACACGATGGATGCTGTAATAGAAGGGCTAAAGGGAGGACGGACCTACAGTTTACAGGTAAAAAACAATGAATTCTTTTCTTTTCATTGCAAACTTGAGATTCGGTGTGTAAGTTCTCCATGTAAGAAAAACAATGTCCCCAAAAAATTATAAAACAAATATACAGTATTGTGCAAATGGTTCATCAGATGGCTCAGATTATCCAACATCATGGTTGTAGTGAAGTAAGTATACTTGCGACCAAAAGTGTCTTTTCATTCCCTTGGGTGCAGACTCATGTTGGCATACACCGCAGTTCTTCTAAAAGTTTTCCCTCCGATTCCTGGAAAATTCCCAGTGGAAAAATGTAACAGGCCTCGTAACTCACTGATAATGTACTCCCTGGCTATGAAACTGTGGGCTCTGTCTCTAAATAACTGCAGCTTCATCTCTAAATTGTAGCTGGAACTCTGAGCACTGGTGATAATTCTCGAAATGAAATTTGGATCAGCTTGAGATAGAAGTTGGTTCTTGCTCTGTAAGTTTGAGGTTGTAGGTGAAGTAAAAGCACAATTGGCCAGAACAGGGCTTCCATGGAGCAACTTAAAGCTTTAAGAGCAGTTCAAAGATGCACAAGGAGACAACTGAAGGGGAAACTTCAGTTATAGAACTTTATGATCTCACCAGCGCACCTATACTAGCCAAACAACCAAGCCTACCATCAACCAAAAGCTTGGACTTGTTGAACTTTTCAATGCTTTAGTTCCTTTCTGTGCTGGTCTTTCTTACTTTTGTATTCCCTTCTCTCTTGTGCTTGTCTGACTGCAGATTTCAGCAAAGAACGGGGCTGGCAAGAGCCCACTCAGCTCACGTGTCCTGATTACTACAGGGATCAAAGGTACAAGCCTGTCTGTCTTATCTGTGCTCTGCAATGCTCCAGAGTCTTTCTTTCTTGATGCAGCAGTGCAGCATAGTGTGAGACAGAAAACTACCACTGCACAGTATTATTGCTCGGCATTCAGGGCCGCTCTGATACAGTAAATGTATCTTGGTAGTATTATTAGATGGGTGCTAATTATGCATTTATTCCAGCCTGTTTGTCGTGTTATATATGTAAATGTGGCAGATTAAAAGTACATCTTCTCACACAGACGCAACTTCTACGCACACACGTGTGTGTGTGTGTGTTTCTGGGTGTGCTCATGTGTGTGGTTGTGTGTGTATGTGTGTGTTTCAGCCCCATCCAAGCCAACCCAAAAACCCCAGGCAATGCTGAGCTATGGAGGGGTTGCCATGGTTACCCACAGGAGTATCACCATCCACATGCCTGCATGTTTCTATAGTGACGACAATGGACCAATCACAAAAATTCAGGTCATCGTGGCCGAGTCAGGGGGTATGACTCTTAAAAAACATTGACAGCCATCACTTTTAGTTGGATACACTCGACTCGGGCGTCTGTCTTTGTATGTGTGTGTGTTTTAAAACAGAGTTTACACTATGTTACTTCGTCCCTACCTCAAAGAAAAAAGCAAGTCAAAACTTAAGCAGCTGAAATTTGACTTGGCCTCTTTGCACTTCTTCTCCTCTCTAACTTTTATCTTGCCACAGTAAAGGACAACAAGAACGTGACCAACTGGAAGAGCGCGTACTATGATCATCCCGCCCCTTACTTTACTGACTCAGGGTTCCCCAACCCCCCGTGCAGTGACTCAAGTATGCATGCACATCTCAGAGGTGTGTTTAGAGATGGTTGGTCACAGAGGTACAACCAAACTGCTGCAGAATATGTGATCGGCAAGAGCAATGACTGCACGGGCAACAACACTGAGTATTTCTGCAATGGACCTTTGAAGCCTAACTCTGTCTATGTGTGAGTGCGCCACATACACAGTCAAATAAAAAAAACAACAACTTTTTTTTTATGTTTATTTTTGGTAAAAGCTAATGCAAAGTCTTGTGTGTTGTCTTATATTTACCAGGTTTAAGTTCAGAGCCACTAACGTCAACGGGGAATACACAGACTCTGAGTACTCGGAGCATATCAAAACAGGTACTGCTGTACTAAGGAAAGGGGTAACCTGTGTGGCAAAGCCCTCTTCTTTTTTTAATTAATGTTTATCATTCTGTGAATTCTTCTCTGTTAAGGAGTATGGGGAAATTTACTAATGCATCATTTTATTGTAAAATTAATTACCAATGCATGGGTTGCTTTATTGCCATTTCTGTGACCCTCCAGCTCCAGGCGATGGGCTGTTGACCAGAGAAGAGCAGATAATTCTGGGCGTTCTGCTCTCCTTCTTCTTGGCTGTGTTACTCATCATCATCATCTGTGGCTCAGTCAAGTAAGATGGCGATAGACACTCACTCATTTGCATATATTAATAGTCTTAATCGTGGCTAGTTGAGCATTACATCATTTGAAAACAAAACTTCACTCATTTTACACATGTATTTGTATCATTATTTACCTGTTTGATTTATTGACATGTCAGGATCCACCAGCGTAAAAAGGAAGGTGGGACGTATTCGCCCAGAGAGGCAGAGATCATAGAGACTAAGTGTAAGCTGGATCAGCTGATCGCCGTAGCAGATATGGAGCTAAAACAAGAAAAACTCAACCAGTAAGTTTGTGCTAGTTTTAATCTAAAAGCGTCACTTTGACGAATATAACATGCACATTTCAGGCAACTGAATTAGGGTGCGTACTACATGACTTCAGGCTTAATTTAGCTTCTCCAAACACGATCTTAAATCTCAGTCAACAAGACAAAAAATGCCTTTGCTGCAGCCAACTTGATGTGCGCTCCTGTCAGCACAAAATCTTCTAGTGTTGTAGAGTTTGTGCAGAAAATAGCAGCAGCACAGAGACACAATGCAGCACTAAAGTGGCTTTATAATTTATCTTCAGTTCTCTGCAGAACAGACAAGTCTTCCTGTCTCCTTTCTCCCACCATCCTCACAGACAAATTTAGCATCTAGCTTTACTGGGGTTTTTTTGTCTTTGGCACAAACAAGAGTGCAGACACTAAGTGGTGCAAGCTGCTCTTCCTTTACAAGCTGCAATTTTGAATCTGGTGAGAATCAAACTCAGGTTTAGTTGTTGTTTATGATTTATGAGTGCCACCGATGGTTTGACTATAGCAGTAAACTTGAGAAAAAATAATATGTACGTCAGTATAAACACTGGTTTATAATCTGATTCATTAATCAGCAGCTAATAGGTAGAGCAGATTGTCCACTAAGCAGAAATGTTACTGTATATACTATACTGCCAAATGCTTTGTAATAGTAAATCCTCTATATATATATATCTACACTGTTCCAAAAAATAGTAATGTCAAAGTATCTTACTGTATATTTTACAGTTTTGTACTGTCTTTCTAGAATATCATGAAATTTACATAAGTAGACTGTGATTTTACATGTCAAAGGTAAAATAACATAACATCACTGTAAACATAGTAAAACACACTTTACTTGTTTTTTAAATATATTTTTTTTGTACATATGCATATTTAGATTGTAAAAATACATTCAGAAATGTATCATAATTTCACAAATATTTGTCTGTCATGTGAGAGAATGATCTGTTAAATTCAAATGTAATACTATGGGAAAATATATAAAATGATCAAAAATTAATGAGAATAATCAATAATTAAAGGAGTATTTGAATTATAATGTTGCTGAAAATTTCATGTCAATCTAGGTCTGATTCAATAATTCAGAGGTAACAAGTGAAAATATAATTAATAG